CCACTTAATAAACACATGTCCTTTCTTCCCTTCTTGCTTCTACAGTGTCTCTTACCTATGTCTGCTACTATCTCCAATCACATTTAACCATCCTAGTTTGGGCCCTGATCAATGGACTGGAGTAACGGCCTCCTAATCGGTCTCCCTTCCTCCAAATTCTCCCTTGTTCAGCCTAACCATTCTCAAGATAATTGCTGAACTGATATTTTAATGCACAGATCACTCCCTAACTCCAAAAGTTTTGATAGCTCCCTATTGCCTCTAAGATCAATTACAAACTCCTCTGCTTTGTATTTAAAGCCCTTCACAATATGGCTCCAGTCAATCTTCCCAGACTGATTACTCCTCCTCACACACTCTACATTCCAACCAGACTGGTCTATTTTCTATTCCATCTCCCACTGATCACCCCAGCATGTCTTTCCTAATAACCCCAGTGGTGAGTGTTTCCCTCAAAATTATTTTGCATATATTTTGTATTTACTTGTATATGCCCGTGTTGTTTCCCAAAACACATCAGAATATTAGTTTCTTGAGGAAAGGGACTTTCTTCCTTTGGTTTACAGTGCCTGATATAGTCACTGAACACAGAGTAGGTGCTTAATACTTGCTAAATTAAATTAATGAAGCCACAAGGTAATAAATAGTTGAACAATCTATTACCAGGAACTCACTGAAAAACATTAACGTGGCATCCAATTTGGGCAGATTTAGATAAAGAAAAATGGGGAAAGAGTGAGGTTTTCCTTTTTTTTTTTCTGAGCCTCTGATACTTACTAGTAGTTACCCTAGAAAAAGTCATATAACTTCTCTCTATCCATGAAACAACACTCTAGATCAGTAAGTTGCAGAGAAGGTAAAAATGTAAATTGGTAGAGGGAGTTCCCTGTATTAGTATGACAAGTTTAGTCTTCTATTCCTTTTTTCTGAGCAGTATCTGAATATGACATGTGGGCAAATATCACAAAATCAAAGTGATTTTCCAAGTATTTGAGTATGGTATTTACTGTGTACAAGACACTGAGAGAGAATGCTATGGGACATAATCCCTGGTTTTGTGGAACTTTCAGTAAATAAACCAAACATTAGTAACTAACCTCATATCCGGTTTACATTTTGCAGGTTAAAAACAAAACAAAACCAAACACTTTTCATTGCAATGCAATCTGAAATTTTCACCAACACCAAGAACTTAAGAGAACAAAAACTGAAAATAAGCAAAAAAAGGAAAGCAAGGCACAATTATTTAAAAATTGTGCCTGTGAAACAGTCAGTTTTTTCATGGCTTCATAAGAGGTTCATGCATAAACCTCACTGTAATGCAGACACTATATTTGCTCTTGTTTAAGCACATCCAAATGATCACATGACAATGATCTTGAGAGGCTGCGTGGAAGAGAGGAAAGAGAGGAAAGAGATCCTTGATGTCTTAGAACTTAAGTTTAATTCTAGCTTGATTTCCTACTTCTGTAGCCTTGGGCAAAGTCACTTCCATTCTCTGGTCCTTAAATTTTTCATCGGTAAAGTGGTGGAGAAGGGAGTAGGTGGATGAGATGATGTCCAATGTCACCCCCAGCTCTAAATCTGCAGTCCTGTGACCACAGAACAATTTGGGGAGGGGGTAGGAAGCAGGACCTGAGGAAGGAAACTTAGTTCTAGTCCAGACCCCAACACTAACTAGCTAAGAGGACCACGAGCGAGGCATTTATTCATGTCAACCAAGCATGACAATGTCAGCACCTGGACGGCAAGTCTCCAGGATTTTGCTTTTTTCTCTGTCTCCAATGCTTCCCACAGTATCTGGCATATAACAGGCACAAGATAAATGGTCACTGGTAAAGTAAATAAATGGACACCAGTGTCCTCATCCAAAGAATTAGAACGTTAGACGAGATGGTCTCCAAAGTCTCATCAAAGTCCAAACTTTATGATTCTATGACTCTTAATTACCCAGAGTAACTTGGAATAAGAAAGGCATGAACAGCTGAAACCAACGACCAACAGTCCCAACCTCCCCCCACCCACAATTCTGTTACTCAAAATCACCAGGTATATGGACGATAATAATAGTGGACCCTTTATATTACATTTCAAGGTTTCTATAACATTTTGAATTATCTCATTTGTTACTGGCCAACAACCCAGAGAAGAAAGTGTTGCAGGCATATTTTTAGAGAGGATTGGACCTTTGATTTCACTGTTATAGAAAAATACCAGTGAGGAAAGTCCCTCTTTCAATGAAGATGGGTGTTTTAGATGCCTGGGACACTGAGGTCAAGCAAGTTTCCCAGCGTAATATAGAATGTATTTTTTGGAGGTAGGACCTCAATGCAGGTTGTCTTGACTCCAAGGCCATCTCTCTATCCTGATTTTACAGAAGGTAAAATGAAGCCAACAGGAGACAAATGGCATTGCCCAGCATTACACAGTTAATACACATCAGAAATGGGATGTGAACCTTGGCCTTTTCACATCCAACTTTAACCCTCTAGTCATTATGGGACACTGTCTTTCAAGCCAATAAAAAGGCACCAAAGCAAGAGTCAGAAAGCCTGAGATCAAGTTGTGGCTGGGCCACTCACTAGCTATGTGACCTTAAGAAAATCACTTCATCTTCCCAGAAGTTTTTCCTCATATTTCCTCATATATGAAAGGAAAAGGTTTGAATACATGTTGATTTATTGTTGTTGTTCAGCCTTTTCTCAGTCATGCCCAACTCTTCATGACCCCATTTGGGGTTTTCTTAGTAGAGATACTGGAGTGGTTTGCCATTTTCTTCTCCAGCTTATTTTACAGATGAGGAAAATGAGGCAAACAGGCTTAAAGGATTTGCCCAGGGTCATACAGCTAGTAAGTGTCTGAGGCCAGATTTGAACTCAGGAAGATAAGTCCTTCTGACTCCAGGCCCAGCACTCCATCCACTGTGCCATATAGCTGCGCATATATGTTGTTTACAACTCTATAAATGGGAAAGTGTGCACAGATCGGGGAGAAGAGAGTGAACAATGAACAAAAGAGAAAACGATGAATCACTGACAAGTTGTAGGCAACTACATAATGAAATTCAATTTTAAACTACACATCTTTGGAATAAAAAATTTAACTGAATTATATAAATGTGTTTAATGGTTTTCCGGTTGGTTGAGGCTAAGTTCATATTAAACATTAACATAAATAAAATAAACTTATTAGACAATCACTAAAGTTTCTTGGAGCTTATGTAATTCTAAAATCTGTAATTCAACTAATATAGTGTCATCTGTATCTAAAGATAACTCTGTTCATCCATCATTAATGGGAGAGTCCTGGAATAGCTTATTGTCCAATAATGACATCAGAGTACAAGATATTGACAATAACCAGAAGTGAATTGCAAAATCACCAAATTTAGTTTAGTTTTCATTTCCTTTCTCTTTCTTTATAAAAGGTGCTGTGAGCAATCAAACGACCCAAAATTATGCAACAGGAGAAAAAGAAAAGCAAAGGTCTCCTCTAAGAGGAAAATATAAATTGAATGGTCTCACTTTGAGCAACTGAGTTTATGATATTAGAACATCCTTAACATTTGTGAAGTCTATATGCTGGAAAAGAGGTAGTCATGGCATAGTAGGTATTAGCCTCAAAGTCAGAAGACCTGGGTTCAAGTGTTTCCTGATATGCATTGATAAAAGGGTTAACACTAAGGGTACAAATTAGCAGTGAACTATTGTTAAGATATCACATGTAAAAGCGACAGGCGTGTAGTAGCAAAGCATAAACCACATTAGCTGGAAAGGAAGCACAGGTTGGTTTAATAACATGTCATGAGATTCCTATATGGTCCCAACATTTGTTAAAAGTCCACACAAGGACAGCTCCAAATTTTGCCTAAATTGATCTCCCGCTATTCAAAATCATTGTGAATACAGAGATGCTGGTAAATGAATGCATCTCTCTCAAGTGGAGGTTCCTAATGATTTTTCACGGCCAAAGTGACTGGGACTACAGTGCATGTTTTATATTTCAAGTGGCAGTAACGAAGCCAATGTGGGCATTCCCCTTGACTGACAGAGACTGCAAAGCCCTCTAAAATACAATCAGATGGTCTCCGGGAGTCGCTGAAAAATCAGCCACCCTACAGCAAAATTGGTGATTAGGCTCTCCTCACTCAGCTAGGCAGGCATCCAAGACAACACACATTCCATCCGGGTCCATGATTAGGTTTCATACGATGTTACTACCAGATAGAGAAAACATCGAACCAGATGTGTGATTCACTGGACTCAAGCAAGGGCTATTAACTTACCCCTTTGGAAGTCTGGTGAAAGCTACGGACCCCCTCTCAGGGTAATGCTTTTATAAAAATTAAGGAAATGCTAAATTTCAGTTACACGTTAGTGAAAATAACGACGTATTTTTCCCCAGTGCAAGTTCTCAGATCCCCTGCAAATGATGCACACACTATGGTTCCCTGGTTAAGAATCTCTAGTCTACAGCAATGACGTCCAAAACAAATAGAAATGGGGGTCGCTACTCTACACATAAGGATCTGTGCAGTCTACATATCGACTGAGTTTTAGAATGTATTATCATATGTGTTTTTATTGCATTTTTATTTATTTGGTTAAATATTTCCCAATTACATTTTAATTTGGTTCAGGCAGAAGTAGAGAATATTGAAGGTAACATGTGGCCCATGGGCCATCCATTTGACACCTCTGGTCTAGAGAATTCTCAATGAGTAACCCCCCTTTACCGAAGCAGATTGGCCCCAACTCTACAATTACGGCGTGTTGTCTGGAGCAGTGAAAAGTGACATGATTTGTCCAGGGCCACACAACCAGTAAGAGTCCAGAGGCAGCACTTGAACCCGTTTCTGGCTGAGGTTCTCTATTCCCCACAGCAGGCCCTCTTTCATAGATAATTATTAAGAGTAAAAATGATATAATCATGGATGTTTGCCCAGTATCAAAGAAAGCAAAATGCTCTTTTTAACGTGTTCTGTAATTTAGATAATTTACCTGTCTGCTGCTTCTACATCAAAACAGAACCGTCTGTCAATGGAGTCAGTATGCCTTTTGGTACATTCTTTCAGAGAGAAGACTTCTCCATCACCCTGTTAATGAGGAGGGGAAGCATTCTTGAAATCAAGATATCAAATTTCAAAGGAAATCAACTAAAAACTAAGAAGATAACCTATACTCGAATCACAATAAAACTACACATTTTACCTGAACACATCTTCTTCCCCACCCCCCACCCCCGAAAACCACTTCCTCCCAATGTGGCTATTTCTATTAATGACCCTTCCTACCCTCCCTACTTCCCACTCACTTTCCCAATCCCATCTCATCTTGGACTCTTCCCTTTCTTACCTGCCCCACATGCAATGAGATGCCAAATCCTAGGAGATTCTACCTCCGGAACACTCTTCAACTCTTTCTTTCTATTCTGAAAACCATCACCCTACCTCACCACCCTCTCCCTCTCTAGACCGTTCCAATCACCTCCTTACTGATCTCTCTGCCTCTATACTTTCTTCCTTTCCCCCATTCATCCTTTCTCAAAGCTGCCAAATTAATCCTCCTAATGTACCATTTCCACCCATCCTCAGAAACCTTTAGGAGTTCCCTTAGCTTGGCATTTAAGGCCCACCCCAATTCAGCATGAATTGACTCCCCCCTTCCCATTTTATTTCAATTACTATCGTACAAACACACACAATCAAGCAAAACTGGCCTATTCGGGTTTTCCTCATCCCATCCTACATCGTCTTCCCTTCATGGATTTCCAAGGCCTTCCTTTTGCCTGGAATACTCTTTCTCTCCACTTACTGAAATCCTCATTTTCCTTCAAAGTCCAGTCTTCAGGTAACCTTATCTCTATGAAGTATTTCCTGATTCTCCCATCTAAAGGTAATATCTCTTCCACCACAAATTTTCTTATACCACTTTGTATAGATCTCACCTTCACTTCTAACACACCGCTATTTTCAATTATATGTATTTGCTTACATTTCATATCCTTTTTTAGGCTGTAGGTTGCTTGACAGAGAGGAATGGTACTATTTTTTTGCCTCTGTATCCCTCATGTCTGTCAAAGCTGCTGCCTCACATTAGCTGCTTAAATATCTGGTAAACTAAAATCCATTCCTCTCAACCTAGTCTTTTTTTTTTTAAAGAGTCAGAAAATAGCTTTTTAGCCTTTTCTTTCCCAGGGTTCATTACCCAAATATATAGTCCGTTCTGTTCTCCTTAGGCCTTATACATTTTTTTCCTATCTTGTATTCTTGCGATAAAAATGTACCAGACCTTGCTCACCAACGCCAATTATAAAGGATTACAGAAGGGTTGCATCATCCTCCCCACAAGTTCCACTCTTATTTATGGAGTGTAACAATATACTTACAATCTTTCCTCCTGATCGGTGTTCAAATGGAATCATGGTAAACTTCTTTGCCGCTTTCCTATACATGCAGTAGTGTTTAACCCAACTGGAGCCAAATGGAGCAGGCCCTGAAGCAAAGAAAAATTTTATGCTTTTTAAATGAAGGAAAACCTAGTTCACCACTCCTCTGTATAATCAGCAGTGTTCTCCACTTATGTATATTCAGGGGAACGGAAGTAAGGGAGGGAGGGAGGATGGAAGGGACCAAAAAGAAATATTCTCAACATTCTCAAACATGTCACCAGTATTGCTCATACAAGTGAACAAGTTAAGCTCTTCACCTTTGAAAATGCGCTCTGGATTTTATTCTCCTTTATATTTGATATCTTTGAGGGGAAAAAATACTTACAGAAAATGTTGTTCTCTTTAACCCCACCACTACCCGGAAAGGGTAGGCCCATACAAGGACTTTATTTGATAGTTAGTAATGCCAAAGACTATCAGAAAAAGAGGAAACTAGCTATAGTGAATAAAAATAGAGGACCTTGGAATCCAGAGGGCCAGGATTCAATATACACTGATGTATATTGGGCTGTGTGACTCTGAGTAAATCACTTAAACCTCTCATTGCTAAGTTACGGATGAAGCACCAATCTGTACCAGTGGAGAGACATTCAACCGTGGGAGTTCCCCACACTGATGAAATATCAGGAGTGGAGCAAAACTCATTAGGTATTCATTCAGCAATATATATTCATTTAAGGACTAGGTTTAAAAATAATTTGATAACTATTAATCAAATACTTTATCTAAACTGAAAGCAATTCTCTTCTCTTTGCCTGGAGTTCTCGAAGTCCGTGAACATTTCAAAGGGATGATTTTATAATGTGTGATTTTTATTATGAAATCATAGACTTATATGGATCGTAGCTTTAGAACTGAGATGATAATAGTAATAATCATCAGCATTGATACAGTGTTTTAAGGTTTGTGGGGCACGTAGGTAGCGCAGTGGATACAGCATTGGCCCTGGGGTCAGGAGGACCAGAGTTCAAATCCAGCCTCAGACACTTTGACACTTATTAACTGTGTGACCCTGGGCAAGTCATTTAACCTCGACTGCCTCGGGGGGGGGGGGGGGGTTGCAAAGCATTTTACAAATATTATCTCATTTTATCTTTACAGTAACTAAGAGGTAGGTGCTATTATCCTCATGGGGGGGTGGAGGGGACATGAGGCAATTGGGGTTAAGTAACTTGCCCAGGGTCACACAGCTAATGAGTGTCAAATGTCTGAGGCTGGATTTGAATTCAGGTCCTCCGGACTATAGGATAGGTGCTCATTCCACTGCACCACCTACCTGCCCCATATTATCCTCATTTTACAGATAGGGAAACTGAGGCAGAGGTTGAATGACTTGCTGCCTCATAGAAGGGATCCTGGTGGTCACCTTGTCCACACCCATCATTTATTTTATTTTGTCTTTTTTTTTTTTTGCCTTGTAGTTTTTACATCATATTCATTCCCACAACTACTTTTTTCTTTCCAACTCTTCTCCAGGACCAATTTTGGTCATTTTAACACAGAATTCACACACACACATTTATTTTGTTCTTTGTTTATATTGTTGCTATCACTGTTTATATTGTTTTATTAGTTTTGCTTACTTTACATCAGTCAGTTCTTTTAAGTCTTCCCACCCAAACTTATTTTTTAATAAAAACTTTTAAGATATCTTTTATTTTTATATCATCTTCATTTCAGAACACATTTTTCTCTTGAACAATGAGGTATTCTTTATAACAAAAAATATAAAGGAAAGATGAAAAAAAAAAGCAGTTCAACAAAACCCACCAATGCATCATCTATGTCTTAAAACATATGCAACATTTCCTACCCATAGTCCCCCACCTCTACCAGAGAGGAAGTACATTTGCTCACCTCCTCTCTGAGGCCAACCTTGGCTATTATACTTACAATCTCAACCCTACTATTTAAAGATGAGTTCACTTGGGCCTGAAGAGTTTAAGTGATTTTCCTAAGGTCACAAAGTTAACACATGTCAGAAGGGAATTCAAAATAATTATCAGAGGCAGGGATTCAAACTCATGTGGTCTGACTCCTAATCCAGTCCTCTTTCCATGGAACCATATTGCCTCCACATGCATAGCAACCAGACCCCAGGAAGCCACCTCCTCAGATGGGCTAAATCAGATGGAGGGTAATCAACAGGCCTCAAACCTGTCCGTGAGTTTAGGAGGATGTCTACCCCAAGCACCTGAAGATTCCCTCCAGCAGAATGCGTGGATGAGAATAATTTTTTCCAACGACCATGAAGATGGCTGAAGCAGGTACTATGGAGCACTTGGAGCTTAGCCAGGCATCAAAGACACTAAGGTCATCCAGTGCATTCTGGGTAAGTCATCTTGACTTTTGTCCTGCCGTTGGACTTTGATGACCCAAGAAGAGAGACTGTGAGGGTGATGATTTTGTCCAACTCCACCTCACTTAAATCCAATTCATGAGCAAATTAAGACATCACCCATAATGTCATTGGTTCTCTTCAAAAACGAAGGACAAATAACAACAACTATCTCTACATACTAGAAAAATTCAGAACTAAAGATGAAGGATAATGTGGGAAGTATAAGAAAAAATAAAAATCATCATGAGACTGGATTATTCCTTCTGGCATCCAGTGTCCTTTTGTGAGCCTCCTGAAAACAATACTTTCACACTCTAACAAAGCACATAAATCAGAGCAGCTAAGCGGTCATGTGTAGACCAATCTGGTGAGAGCTAGGAGCTGGTGAGGCTCCTCAACCACTACAGGAAAATCTAAGAATGAGGCACTTCAAACCCCCTTTTAGTCCAATTCCTTTAAGGCCAAAGGGCATGAGTCTGAACCTACAAGAACCTTTACCACTTTTGATCATCTGGCCCCTTACTTCTAAAAGTTCTGATTTATACACCCTGGATTTTCAAACTCTTTACATAAATTGACTAGACATGACAGCTTCATCAAGAGAAATCTTCAATGGCTTTTGAAGAAGAGTATGATTGACTCCTTGGAGATTTTTTTCCCCAAAACTGCACAAGTCAGCCAACCTGACTGCAAAACTCAAATCCAAATCTGAATATTTGCAAATGAAAGAAAAGTGGCACCTGCTAGCTGATGAGAGAGTTTCCCTACATCGGTCTTCTATTTTATCCAAAGTATGGCGGATGTTTAACTGCCTCTGAAGTCTTCCACATTCTAAAATTGGTCAGTTAAGCTGAAGTGCTGCAAACCACTCACACATGATAAGTGAAAGGAAGGTTTGTGAGCTGCTCTGATTAGAGTCAAGAGGGAGGGGGAGAGAGGGAAAGAGTGGGGGAGAGAGAGGGGGAGAGAGAGAGAGAGGGAGGGAGAGAGGGAGAGAGGGAGGGGGGGAGAGGGTGATTGCTTCTGGGAGGGGGAGAGAGAGAGAGAGAGAGAGAGAGACTGAGACTATAAATAAGGAACATTCTCATGCTTCCCTCCCCTTGTACCACCAAGTAATCAGGATGGCTCCTACAGCTCCACAGGTGAAGAAGGAAGATTCTGATCTCAGCAGTTAAATGATATCCAACAGTTAAGATCTGACTGGATCTGGAAATTTCTGAATTCAGAACCTGGAATGGTAGCACATGCCTGGAATAGGCAAAGGTTTGGTGGATCGCTTGAGCTCAGGAGTTCTAAATTGAGGTCGGTTAGGCTAATCAAATGTCCTCACCAAATCTGGCACCAGTATGGTAAAGCCTACAAGAGTGGGGAGAGGGGATGGGATCAGTCTCCTAACTGACCCAGGTCAGAAATGGAGCAGGTCAAAGCTCCCTTGATGACCAGGAGTTGGACTGGACTCATGATGGTCCTAGCACTTTAAGCTTAGGCAAGATAGGGAAACTCAGTCTCCAAAAAAGGGAGAGGGAGGGAGCTGGAAAGAACCATTGAGATCATCTAATCCAATCCTTTCCTTTTGTAAAGGAGGAAACTGAAGCCCAGAGTAGTTAAACTACTTCCTCATGCAGGTAATAAAAACAGGATAAAGACTGGACCCAGGTACTCTAATTTCAAATCCAATATTCTTTCCTCTATACTGTATGGTCTCTTCTCCCAAGACTTTGGCTAATCCAATCCATCCCAAGTTGATATTTACCTAGTTTTCCTGCTAAGTTATGTAGGACAGAAAAATAATAGAACAGATGGGAATGGAGAAGGAGAAGAAGGGGAGAGGTAACAAATACTCGGCTTTGAGGAGCATATGTAGGAGAACCAAGAGGGAAGGACTACTGTAGAACTGAAAAGTTTTAGTGTGAGATGACTTATGTTCAAATCTCAGCTCTGCTACTTACCACTTGTGTGTTATTGAGTAAATCACTTAAACTTTATGGAACTGTTTCTTCATCTGTAAATTAAAGGGGCTCAATTTGATACCTCTTCCAACTCTAAATCAACAGACCTCTGAGCCAAAGACAATTCCTGACCCCACCAAAATAAATTATCAACACCCTCTTCTCTCTTCTGTCTCTCTTCTCTCCACCTTCTCCTCCCTCCCTCCTTCACCACCATTCATTCAGACCATTCTTTTCCCCTCTATCTCCATTACCACCATTCACTCAGGCCTCTCTTCTCCCCTCTGCCTCCTTCGCCACCATTCACTCAGGCCTCTCTTTCCCCAGCACATGCTCCCAGTGTGGAAGAAGGAATTGGTTCAGATCCTGGCCCCTCTCAAAACTCCCTCCTCCCCTCCACACAGAAGGAAAGTAGACAGACCAAGTGATGGGCAGAAAGAACCACCTACCTTACTTTTTATTTAATCACAGCTCTTCCATCAGGAATAAATAGCTAAACACATTCAGACTCCTTGGAATCTGGCCTTGGGAAGGAGCCAGGGTCCAAAAGCTTAACTTTAATCTTATCTTGCCTAGAACCAGACTTCTTTTCTACTTCCCAACCATTTCCAAGTCATCCTAGTACACGTAGCATCCCCCCACCCGTTCATCCATCCTGCCTGCCACTTCTTTCTAGCTCAGAAAGTAAGTTCTAGAGCATAGAGGTTCTCTGGCTTACTTGTTTTCTTAACTCAAGCACAATGCCTGAAAAACAATAAGTACTCAAAAAATGTTCTACCAATCGATTTATCTATCTATCCGTGGGATGTTTTTCTTAGTACTAGGATAGGAAGGGGGCAAAAAAAAAGGTGATAAGAGAGAAAAGTTCAAATATTCAAGTACATATCTATAAAAACAAGCCACTCTAGCATGTGACAGAGCTGGAAGGGACCTTGGAAACCATCTAGTCCCACCCTTTGATGCGACTAGATCAGAGATATTTTCAGGCAGCTACTACACCAGGCATTTGGGGGCAGAGATGGGGCAGAGTGAATCCCACAAGAACTCATCATATTAAAGTTCAGCTTTGCAATCCTCTTACTTTTCTCCTGGACATAGAGGTAGCCTTCCACTGCAAACTGGCTTGCTCTCTTGTGCTCCTTGGGATTCTGTCTGATTTTATTCATGAGATCTTCCACTTCAGATCGTGTGCCTTCAAAACGATTTCTTGTCTAAAATGAATGAAAGGTAAACATTAAGAGACTTTACATGTGCTATTTGGGGCAAAAATGAAGAATCTATATTAATCCTCTAGAAAAGCAAAGATTTTAATCAGATTCTCTATACATTTATTCAGCCATCCTCCATCTTTTAAGTCATGTTTATGGTGTTTCTTGTTGAAAGGAAAATAATCTGAAAGCTAGTTAATAGAGGGAGTGAAGCCAGAAACGAATGGTAGATTGTATGACCAAATGCACAGTCACCAGCATTAGATCCCAGGCACAGTAAAAATCAATCAAGTCTTAGGGTCAATAGCTAGGCTGCAAAGCCCACATCCAAGTGTTTCCACCTACTCAAAAAAAAAACCAATTGTGTTTAATTCATGTGGGATCTGGAATAAGGGGATATTTGCAAACATGGAAATAATAAGCTGAGTTTCAAACTCATGGAAAATAAAAATGCAAGATGGTGGAGCAGAGAGAGCTGAGTTGTCCCAACATTACCCTACAAACAATTTTAAAATGCTACTTCAAATCAAATTCTAGAGTGGCAGAGTCAGCAAAAGGTCAGAGCGAGACATTCTTCCAGACCAAGAAAACTCAGAGGTTAGAAAGAGAGATCTGCGACACTGGGGAGGAGTTGGCCTGGAGCCCACATGGATGAAACACCAGTGGTGGGACTACGAGGTGGTGAGTGAAGCAGCAGCAGCTTCAGGCGCTCTCAAGGCAAAGTCTGTAAGGGGACCTGGCAACTGATTACAGGGGAGCCCTTGCTAGCACTGAACACAGGATCAGAAGCTATTTGGCAACCCCATTTCTGGATCATAGTTCAAGGGCAGAAGGGAGCACTTTCAGTCAAGAGGGAGAGGAAGCCTTGAGGGGCAGTATCATTTCTGGTCTCAAAGGAGGAGGGGGTCAAGGAGAAGTAGTGATTGGAATTCCAAGAGATCCCGGGCCCTTCCTGGGGAAGAACCGGATTGCAGATGAAGAGAGCAGTGACCACACCTCTCCTCAGATATGGCCACCTTAGAAGCACCAAAAACTTGCAAACTCCCAAAACTAGCTCTGAAAACAGCAGTGAAAAAAAGCCTGAAGCTTGAGACAGAGCCTCTTCCCCTGTTGCCCGTGCTGAGAACAAAATCTAACATTAAGTTCCAAATCAAAAAACAGGGTAGAAAAATGAGAAAACAACAAAAAAAATCTGACCATAAAAAACTACCATAGTGACAGGGAAGATCAAGATACAGACTCAAAAGAAAACAATCAGGTCAAAACAGCTACAAGCAAAGAGTCAAAGAAAAATGTAAAGTGGTTTCCTTGACACTACATCTTCTCCTCTTGATGAGAAGACTGACCACTTTTTCTCACTTTTCTCCACTGGTTCATCTCCCTCCTTTATCTACCCACACGAAGATATCCTCAAAAGTATGGTCCTCAGCCTTTGTCCTCTCTCTTCTCTATATGCTCTCTTCTGACAAGCTCATATGTTCTCATGGCTTCATTTATTGCCTTTATGCAGAGCATTACCAAATCTATATATCCAGTGACAATTTATCTTCTCAGTGCCAGTAATATATTTTCAATTGCCTGAGGGACACCTCCATCTAGACATCTTGCCAGTACTTCAAACACGGTATGTCCAAAATTGGACTCATTATCTTATCCTCTAAATGGATCCATTCTTCAAAATTTCCCTGTTTCTGTTAATATTACTATCTTCCCCAAGCCAACCAATTATTTTTGCCTCTGCCTTCTCTATCACTTCCCACATTCAAACTGATTGTCAAGTCAGGCTGATCCTATACTATCTCTCACTTCCATTCTCTCTTGCCCATTCACTTCTATCATACCTAGCTCAGACCCATACTAATTCTCAACCAAACCATTCAAATAGTTTCAACTACCTTAAGTCTCTTTCCTCTCCAACCCTTTTCACAGCTGCAAAAAATAGTCCTCTTATTTAAAGCTTGAGCCATGTCAAGTCATTCCTGATTTTCAATGGTACCTCACTGCCCACAAGATAAAAATATTACCCCGGAAGCCTGGCCAGAGTTTAAAAGAGCCTTATTAAGACCCCCTTCGCCAATGAGTCTCCAACATAATTCTCTACATGGGCACCAAGCTAGACTTTGAGTTCTTGCCCTATCCATGAATTATCATAGGCTATTATCCCCACATGCCTATGTCTTCATCACCACCTTCAGAAATGTTTCTCGTCCTTCAAGACTTACCTGAAGTATGTGTATGTGTGCACAGCATATATTATGTATGTGTATTCTCTCATTCTGTCTCTCTCTCTCTCTCTCTCTCTCTCTCTCTCTCTCTCTCTGCCCCTTGAAGTCTTCCCTAATCCCCAAAACTGACAGCAATTCCCTTCCCTCCTCAAATTTCTTGCAAGGCTGGCTGTGCCAAGACCTCTCCTCTGTCCTTAACACATGCTACCTCTTATTTTATTTAATTGTATTAACCTCTCATTCTCCAATCTATGCTCCACACAGCTGTCAAAATAAGATTCTTAAAATACAAGTCTGTCCAAACTAAACCCCTAACTCAAGAAGCTCTAGTAACTCCTGGTAACAAAGACAAGCCTCACTTTGGCATTTAAAGCCCCTCACAGCCTAGCTTTAACCTATCTTTTCTGACTAACTCTACCTTACAAACACCTCCCACACTCCGTGTTTCAGAAAACGGACTTCCTTGCCATTCCTAATATGCTACATTTCATCTCCTGCCTCAGTGCCCCCCATTCATCTGTACCACCACCATCCCCCAATGCCTAGAGCACCCTCATTCCTTACCTCTCTGCCTCCTAGAAGCCCTAGATCCTTCTATTAAGACTCAGTTTAAGAGGTAACTCCTACATAGGACCTTTCCCTGTTCTTTAGATTTGAGGAAGCTTCAAACTTAGAGATAGCTTCTGCCTATTTTAAATATTTCCCTTTAAGTGAACCCCGGGGTTGGGACAAAATGAGTCAAGAGAAAGAAAATGTCTCTTCTTGGGTCATAGTCCAAGATCCGATCAATCCACTACAAATTCAGAGTCTCTGTAGAGCCTTGGTCTACACACTAAAACTCTAAGATCCTTAAAGGCAGAAATTCTTTTTTCATTTTCTCAGCCCATCATAGGCACTTTACAATGCTTGCTGGATTAAGCTGCTTTCATTGATAAGTTGCAAGATCTTTGAGGGCAGGGACTTGACTGTTTTTTAACCTTTTTATCCTTAGTACCGAGCCTAATGTATCACACATCAGTCATTTAATAAAGGTTTGTTGAGTTAAATTTAATTAATGCAGGGAACTGCTGATATAAAACCGTGATATACTTCAAGCAAAAAATTACTACTACACATTTTCTCCTTTCTTCCCCTACAGTAAACACTGTCATGGAAAGCTTATCACAGGAGAAAAATGGTGACATTATACATTTTTATAGGCCTGGATTAAAGCAATATTGAAAAGGAAACTAATTTGTAGAGGCCTATTATAAATACAAATGAACAACCTTTGTAAAGGGTGTTTAGTTCTGTTCCTAATTAAAAAAAGGGGGAGTAAGTTCCTCTGGTCACAAAGAAGGCCTGAATTCAGCACCACCACCACCCCCCTTTCTTATTCTTCTTCCTTTCTTTCCCCAATCTTCTTTCCCTTCTGACCTCACTCCATTTTTCAGTCCATTCCCCACTTTATGTCTTTTTTTTTTTTTTTTTTTTTGCAATTGGGGTTAAGTGACTTGCCCAAGGTCACATAGCTAGTAAGTGTCAAGTGTTTGGTCTGAGGCCGGATTTGAACTCAGGTTCTCCTGACTTCAGGGCCGGTGCTCTATCCACTGTGCCACCTAGCTGCCCCTCCCACTTTATTTCTCAGTCCTCAGCTCCTTTCAATTTCTTACCTTCTTCTCCTTTCCTCAATTTCACTACTCACCTTAATCCACCTTACATAACTAGCAGCTGACCCCCAAGCAACACTGCAGTGGAAGCTTAAAACACACCAGATTTACAACCAACAGGCAACTGTCTAGTTACTTATTCCTCTGCAATTCCTTTCAACAGCTTTGGAAATACAGGAGTATGACATAAACCATGAAACTTAATTATGTTGCTGGATTATACAAAAATCAGTGGCTGGTCTACAACTGAGAGGAGCTGAAAGGGGCCTTAGAGGCCACTGAGCCTAACCTCCTCCTTTGACAGATGAGGAAACTGAGGCTTAGAGAGGTCAAGTGACTTGCCCAGGGTCACACAGCTAGTATCTAAAGCAGGCTTTGAATGAGGTTCTCCTAACTGACTTGCAGGTGCTCTTACCTACTCTACCACCTCACTGCCTGAGAAGTTCCACATCACCATGGATTTATACAACCACGGACTAGAATACATTAGACTACATAGTTTTCCCTTCCATGCCAACATATTTTAAGAAAAAAAAGTCCATCATTACTTAGGCTGTAAATTATGTTCTAGGAATTACAATAATGCCACCTCAAATATTTTAAAGTTTGAAAGTATTTTATATATCTTAGCTGATCCTCATAAAAATTCTACGAGGGATGTTTTGTTGGGGGCCGGGGAGGAGAATTTTAAATTATCAATTGCACTCTCTAACCAATAGTGTTAGAGAGCTGCCTGGGGGCAGGAAGAAATTACATGACTTGCCTACAGTTATATGTCAGGATTAGGGCTTGAGCCTGGGTCTTCCTAATTACAAAGCTGATACGATCTACTACATAACAGAGGTATTCTCAGTCTCATTTTATAGGTGGTTAAATGACCTGCCTTTGGGTCACACATCTGATAAGCGTCGAGGGTAAGATTTAAATTGAAGAAAGAAGACCCTAGCTTGCCCTTCTTTGTACCCAGGGGCGAGCCGTGCCCAGCACACAGTAAGTGCTAAATAAATGCTTCCTGACTAAATCAAAGGCATACAAGAATGGTCCTCAGCACCTTGGATTAACCGTAGCATAGGATGGATCCTACTACCACCCGGTGGGTCACTTAGGGACTCAGACGAGAGTTGCATGGATGAGAGTTACACAAGACAGGCAGGCAGGAATGAGTCATGATGTACATGACTAGAAGAGATAATCACCATCAATTAAATCATAATTTTCCTGAAGTATCCGAGTTACAGTATTACTGGGGTTTTTTTAAAGGTCACATTCCTTTATGATCATACTTCATGTGAAGTTACATTTTAAATAAAAAAACAAAGCAACCTTCCCCTGCCCAAATGCCTACTCATTCATCCAACTTTCTCACTAAATGACTACTCTCTCACTAAATAACTAACCTCCATCAGGTCCCATGGGTTTAACTTTCATCCCTATATGGATGACTGCCAAATTGGGATATCTAGTCCCATTAGACATTCAAACTGCAAATATTGGAGATAGTTCAAACTCAAAAGTCCAAAATTAAGCTCATTATTTTTCTCCCCAAATCCTCTCCCTCTTCTAAACTTCAAAACTTACCAATTTCTATCCAAGTCACCGTTATCCTTCCAGTTTCCCATATGCATAATCTTGACATTACCTTGGATTTCCTCCCTTTCCCTCACCCCACTCATCTAATTGGTTGCCAAACCTTGCTGTTTTCTATTTTCTCCATCACATCTCTAGTACTCAGATCCTTCTCTGTATCCACAAAGCTACCACCTTAATTCAAGAACACAGCTTCCTAACTGGGCTCCCTGCCTTGGGTCCCTCTCAGTTCCAGTCGCTCCTACAACACTTCTTACCAAGGTCATTTTCCTTAAGGGCAGATCTGGCCCTGCTACTCTCCTAATCAATCAACTCAGTGTTTTTCTATTGCTTCTAGGATTAGCTAAAAACAAACCTGTGTCCAAACCATCATTCCAGCCTCAATGGACATTACTCCAACTCAACCAAAACTCTCTCTCTCTCTGCCCCTTATGTAAGATCTCCCTTTACAATGGCTTATCCCTCCTTACCTCTCCTTACCACAGAGTAGCTCTCTTTTGTTAGGATTCAGCCCATATACTGCTTTTCACATGAAGCTTTTCCTGATCCACTCAAGTACTACTTTGTGACCATGTTCTCTCTCTCTCTCTCTCTCTCATTACTTTAAAATTAACTACTTTGTATTTATTTACTCTCCTTACAATTATTTACAAGTATTCACACTCTTTACAATTATTCTGTGTATACTTATGTTTCTACCTGTTGTCTCCTTGTAAATAGGAACTGCTTCATTCCTTCTACTTCTCTCCCCAGCCTCATGAGTAGTGTATGTCCCAAAGCAGGAGCTTAACAAAAGCTTATTAATTTGAATTAAAAAGACTAAATTGGAAATTGAAACGAAAGACCATGCTTGGGATATAATAGGAGAGCTTAATACTTATTGATTGATAGTCTAAAGAGATTGTGAAGTAGCTCAACATATTTTAAAGATCTCCAAATAAACAGCCAATCTTGTATAACACTAAATATAAAACCAGGGCAACCACTTAAGGTTCAAAGTACTCCTAGGAATATTACTGGACACCACTAGGTGTCAGGGTTTGCTTAACCCTCAGCTATCATAAAAGTTTTCTGTTATACCATGGACTAACCAGAAGATGGCAGTGTGTCATCAAAATTTCCACCTAGCACTTCACAAATAGTCTAGACCAGTGTGTTGACATTATTTCTTATTTATATAATAAAATGGCACAAACACACATTTTTAAGAACCCACAGATGTCTTATTCATGAAAATTCCAAGCATCTATTTAATGGATAAGGCTGCCCTTGTCTTACGTTCTGAATGTTGATCTGTAGCTCCATCTTGTAGTGGTTGAAGTCTTTAGCAAGTTCATGGCCCTGATGATAGAAGGTGAACATTCCCTGGAAAAACGACAGCATCTTCGGCACACATACAAACACACAAACGAACAAACAAAAAAAAAGGCTTCATTAGCCCAGGAAGGAAACACACACAATCAGGAAATTTCACTAAAATAGGCTTTTTTTGTTAAAGAAGGTGCACAGGAAAACTAAGAGAACAATATACATACAAATATACACAAGGATATAAATGAAAAAAATGCTAAAAGGCCAACAGACACAGATCAAATTGAATGACCCATCCCAGTCTTGCAGATCAGACACTGAAACACACCATCTGAGAAGAGGGGACTACAGTTACAGAGTGTCGCATACACTGCCAGATGTGATCACATGTTAAATTCTACTGATTAGAGGTCAAGGTGGAGTTCAAAGGGGGTAAGGGGAAAAAAAATATCAAAAAATACTACAATATTTTTTAGAGAATCAAGAAATAACAAAATGGCATAGAAGAACCAAATTTCCTCTCTCAAATCCTTCTGTTCCCTTCTATCATCCCTAACTGACCCATTATTCTTTTTTTTTTTTTTTTAAAGCAATGGAGACTATTCCTGGGATTTCACTGATGCAGGGTAAAGACACTGTCTCCAAGCAAAGGTCTAAACCTTCTCTGCAACTTATCGCCTTAGGGGCAAGGAAATGGTTTAAGGGACATGCTCAGGGTCACACATCCAGTGGATATCTGAGGTAGACTTGAATTCAGGTCCTCCTCATGGTGAAGTCAGCTCTCTAGCCATTAGGTCAAGCTGCTTCTCACTGAAAGTAACTAGACTAGAACTAAAAATTCCTCATTACCCAAGGTTCAGTCTCAGGATTCTTGAAGAATCAGGAATACCTGGATACCCATCCTGTCCCCAACATTTACCAGCCATATGAAGCTAACATTTTCCTCACCTAAAAAACTGGGATACCACCTATGGAAACTGCCTGGAAAAGTTGTTTTAAGGCTCTGGATTATTCATACCTCCAACTTCTTTTAAACTTGTCGAACTTTGAGCATGTTAAGTCAGTGATAAAAAGGAAAGAGAGTCACAGAAAGTCAGGTTTGGAGAAGCCATCACCTGCCTTGTAACTCAATGCCTTCATTTATAAAATGGGGGGGGCTGAATAGATCACTGGCCTTATATGTGAAAAGAGTTCTATAGGTTCAATGACCCAAATAGCCTCATTTTACAGATAAAGAAACTGAGGCCCAGAAAGGTTAAATTGCTTGCTCAAGGTCAAAAACTTTTGTTATTGTTATTCAGTCATTTCTAGCTCATTTCACAGATGAGGAAACTGAGGCAAACAGGGTGAAATGACTTGCCCAGGGTCACACAGCTAGTAAGTGAGGCCAAATCTTAACTCAGGTTTTTCTTGACCACAGGCCCAGCACTCTATCCACTGGGACAGGTCAGAGAGTGGAAAATTTGGCATACGTCTGAGGAATGGTGAACAGAGTTTCTGGTTTAATAGCTTTAAAAAAAGGAGGCAGCTAGGTGGTGCATTGGATAGAGTACTGGGTTCAGAGTCACGATTCAGCCTCAGAAACTTCCTAGCTGTGTGACCTTGGGCAAGTCCCTTAACCTCTGTTTGCCTATGGATTGGTTCTCCAGTGGAGAAGGAAACAGCAAACCATTCCAATATCATTGCCGAGAAAAATCCATGGCCAGAGATCAACAGGGTCACGAAGAGTTGGACATGACTGAAAGACTGAACAACAGGCTTTAAAAATATTAATGGTATGCCCAGGGCTTGGTACAGTGCCTAGCACACAGTAAGTACATAATACATGTTTACTAGATAGGACCTTGACAAAGGAAACACTGTCAAAAGTACACAGAAGGTAGCAAGATTCAGGCAGGGATTTCCCCATTTGAAATCAGTCAAGGGCTACTGAAGGAAGCCTGTGGTTGGGAAGCAAAGTCATAACTAATTCGTGGTCCACAATGTCACCCGGTTCAATGCGATCTGACCCGGCACATCAGGGTTCTTACTGCTCTTGTCAATGACAAACACATTCGCTCCCAATGGGACAAACAAGGTCAAAATTAATTTTGGTCACCGTGCTGACCAGAGTCTAATGTCAACATATAATAAAAAATCGTGATTTGTATCGATGTGAGAATGCTTCAAGGACACAAAATGGTGCAGTAGGGGAAGCCAGGGATAAGGAATGCTCAAATCCCAACTATACCACTTACGCCTGTGTGACCTGGGGTATGTCACTTAAATTCTATGGGCCTTAGTTTCCTTATCCGCAAAAATAAAGGTCCTGGAATTGATGTCCTCAAAGGTCCCTTCCACTTTATAGCTGTGATGCTATTGTTACTGTCAGGTGAGGGATGGTGATAGGAATGGAACCCGTGATGTCACTGCTGCAGGGAACTCCACGGTAAGGAAGCTCCCTCCACCAG